ATCCCCAGCAGCTTGAAAAACACCAGGCACACGTGTACACATGCCTCAGATCCAGATAGGACAGAGTAAGGGAGGAAAAAGGATGCTCATCAGGGTGCTTTCACTCTCCCTCTGTCTCTAGTGAGCACGTGTGCCCTCTGGCAATTCTTTTTTTTTTTTTTTTTTTAAGAGTTTATAGTATGTGTACCCTGGGAAGGTGGAGAGAGAAAGACAAAGACAGTGAGAGGGAAAGTGAGAAATCACCCCCCCACCCCTGTGGGGATGACCACGCCGCAGTCTCTTCCCCTCCATTCTCCTCTTGGAATCTTGGGCACCCACGTACACACACTCACATACACCCACAGTGAATTGCAAGCCATTGGGTCCAGGAGTCGAACCACGGTTGGCCATGTGGGAGTCTAGCAATGTAACTGCTATGCCATCTGCTGGCCCACCCTCTGGCAGTTAAAACAAAGAGAAAAAACCTTAATATAAAAATATGTATAAAATTACCTTCAGGCTATGTGTAAGATATATGTAAACCAAAATGAATTTTGTGTTTAGACTTGGATACCATCTCCAAAATATCTAATTAATGTATGCAGGTGTTCTAAAATCAGAAAAAATTTGAAGTTCAAAACAGTTCTGGTCTCAAGCATTTTAGATAAAGGATATTCAACCTATAATCTTCTGTGCTGGGCTTCTTTTGTTTTTAAATTTATCCTGGTATTTCATGTATTGTTGATTTGTTCTTGTCCTAGATTGTTCATCCATTCACTAGCTGGTGGACATTGGTTGGGTACTATGAATAAAATCCTTTGACCACTCATGTACAAGTCCTTTGTTTTCATCTCTCTTGGGTTACTGGTGAGTGGGGGTTTATAAGAAATTGCCAAATCATTTTCTAAAGTACTTGTACCATTTTATATCCCCAGAATTATTTATGAAATTTCGAATTGCTCTCTGTGTTGTCAAACTTGACATTGTCAGTCTGTGTATTTTGAAATAAGAACTCAAGCCCTCCTGGTGAGTGTGGAGTGATGTGCTGTTATTGTTGACTTTCCTTTCTCTGAGGTCTAATGATGTTTAGCATCCTCTCATCAGCTTATTGTGTTAGTCTCACAGCGTTGCCATAACAGATACCACAGGCGAGGTGGCTGAAATAGCAGAAATGTATTTCCTCCCACTTTGAGCAACTGGAAATCAAGATGAAGGTGTCTGTGGGTTTGGTTTCTCCTGAGGCCGTTCTCCTTGGCTTGCAGATGCTGCCTTCCTGTGGCCTCACGTGGCCTTTGCTCGGTGCACACATGTTGGCTGTCTCCTCCTCTCCTTAGAAGGACACCAATCCTGTTGGATTAGGGTCCCACCCTTATGACCTCTTCCAACCTGATTTTCTCATGTAAGGTCTTAACTCCAAATTCAGTGCCTTTGAGATTAGGGCTTCAACCTAGGGACTTATTTATTGACCACTTCTAATTCTTTTTTTCTATTGGCTTGTTTCGTTTTGTGTTGGTTAAATCTTTTGCCTAGTTTTTGGAGGAGTGATGTGATTTATTATTGAGATTCAAGAATTCTGTATATGTTTAATCTAAGAGTACTTTATCAGATACAGGATTACAAACATTTCCTTCCATTTAATTTTTCTTAATGTAAGTTTTTAAAGAATAGACGTTTTAAATTTTGATGAAGTTTCCTATTTCAATGATTTCTTTTATGGTTTTAGGTCCTATTTAAAAAATGTTTGCCCACTCCAAGAATATAAAGACATTCTCAATTATTTTCTTCTAGAAGTTTTATAACTTTAGTTTTACTTGTATTTGTATTTTGAGTTAATTTTAATGTTTAGCATGAGTTCTGAACCAAGGTTTACTTGCTTACATATGAATGTTCAATTTTTCCAACATTATGTAATTTAAATTAAAATTTTTTTTAGAGGTTTTTGCCTTAGGACAGGTACAATCACCAGAGAGGACAGACACAGTGAGAGAAAAAGTGAGAAATCACCCCCCTGGGGTGGATTAGCCATCTGCAGTCTCTTTTCCACACTATTCCTGGGATCTTGGGCATGCATGCACCTGTGCCCAATGTGATTTTCAAGCCACTGGGTCCAGAACTTGAACCATGGTCAGCCATGTGGGAGTCCAGTGACCTAATCACTGTGCCACCTGCTGGTCCCCCAACATTATTTATTTAAAAAGATATTTAGGGGAGCAGGTGGCATGGTAGTTAAAGGTACTGGATTCCCACATGGCCAGCCGCTGTTTGAATCCTGGACCTAGTGGCTTGCTTTCTCATTTTCTCTCTCTCTTTCACTTTCTCTTTCTCTCTCTCTCACTCTGTCCCTCTCAGGTCAAATTGAAATAAACAAATGAATAAGTAAAATTGAGTGAAATAATTTTTTTAAAGAATCGTTTTAGGGACCAGCAGTTAGCGTAATGGCTATGTTGCTGGACTCCCACGTAGTAGACCACGGTTCAAGTCCCAGACCCGGTCGCTTAAACTCATGCCGGGTGCTTGTGCATGTGTGTGCCCAGGATCCCGAGAGGAGAATGGAGGAGAAGGGATTGCAGCATGGCCATCCCCCCTGGAGGTGATTTCTCACTTTCTAACTTTCGGTCTCTCTCTGTCTTTCTGGCGAGCGCATGTGCCCTATAGCAAAAACCTCTCAAAAAAAAAAAAAAAAAGAATCGTTTTATTCAACTTTATTTATTTAATTATTTTAATTTGAACAGAGAGGGAAGAGTGATAGGGAGAGAAAGTAAGCCACCAGGTCTGGGACCGGAACTGCACTCGGCCATGTGGGAGTCCAGTGCCCTTAACCACCATGTCACCAGCCAGCCCCGAATAAAATAATTCTTAAAAAAAAAAAAAGATATTGAAAAGATATTGAGACCAGCAGATGGCGTAATGGTTACATAACTGGACTCCCATGTAGTTGACCGCGATTTGAGTCCCGAACTTGGTGGCTTAAACTCATACTAGGCGCATGTACATGCATAACCAAGATCCCTAGGGGAGAATGGAGGAGCAGGGATTGTGTATCCCTGGGGGGTGATTTCTTGCTTTCTGTCTTTCTCTCTCTTCAGCAAGTGCATGTACTCTATAGCAAAAATCTCTCTAAAAAAAATAATGATAATTCTTTCCCT